TTAATCGTTTTCAAAGTTTTATACCATATAAGATTAGATGGATGTAACTTGATAAGATAAGAACACTTTATTGTTTTATCCTCTAATGTAATCATTAATTGGCACTAATTCGTATTAGTTAAGAACAGATAATAAGTTATGACAAAAATTAAAAATTAAAAATTAAAAAGTGACATTATTTTAATTTGACTGTCATTGCAAATATGTTAAAAATAAAGGTGTAACACAACTGTGCAGTCAATAAGCCGTGACTGTACGTGTGAGTTGACACCACGCTATATGATTAGCATATATGATTTGATTTTATTTAGTTATTTATTTTTCTTTCTTCTAAGGAGTACATAATTAAAATTGTATGACTTGTAAATGAATCTAGAATTTCCTAGAACTTATTCTATCCAATCAAAATGTATTGTGTTATGGACTGTTCTTGTTGTTTGGTTAACATATACTCCCTTTATCCGTTATTGTTTGCACCATTTAATTCAAAAAACTCTCACAAAAAATAGGCTCATAGTGCAAACTAAAATGAATTGAGGGAGTAAGAAGTAGAAATTTTCATAAACTTTCAACTTAAAAAAATAGTGGAAAACTTCCTATAGAAATTTCTAAGGATACTTATTTAGTGGAGAGTATGGAGACTATGTAAATAAATTCCTACAAATAGGACATTCTACTTTTCCCATTTCACAAAATATTATTCAACCAAACAACTCACCTATTTTGCACTTTCTAATAATTCAAACAAACAACTCACCTATTTTGCACTTTCTAATAATCTATATACGGAGTAATACTCAAGGTCGATAATAAATTTTGCTATCATCTTAAATTCTCTAATATTCTATATTAATATGAACATGAATCCCATCTAAAATGATCATTATATATAGATTATAAGGCCAAATATAATCAAAGGTTCTTACCAAATAAGAAAGTGTTGCAATTATTATAAAACAGACGTAAAAAGTAAAGTGATGTAATTATTACGAAACGACACTAATCTAATAATTAAGACAATGAGCAACGTATTCCCAGGCCATTTTTCTTATAATGCATGCAGCTAAATTCATTGCATGCTCAAAGTAGTAAAAAGTAAACAACTAACAATTAAATTTTTAATCTGACATGATTAGATAAAATTTTAACAAGAATAATTTTAGAGTAATATATTTCTAAAATATGTTTGAAGCTTACTTAATTAATAATCTGGTACTAGCCTTTCAATAATCACTGCTATCTTTCAACATCGTGAAAATAGTGAATTGATTACGAATTAAATGGTTGTTCATGAATTCAACGTTATAATATAAAATTATCTGAATAATTTCTGGCTTTCAGAAGACTCTCTGAAGAAGTTTCAAACAACTCTAAAACCTGCTACAAGGTAGCTTAGCTTGTTTGTTTATAATTAGTGTATGTTATGTTGTATTGTTGCCTTGTTGGTATTAACTTGATAATATACTTCCAACATCAGAAGTCATTTTTGTAGTAATTTTTTTAGATGGACTGCTGGTTATGATCTACGACCATGACTATATGTCTATATATATTGATAATACGTAGTACAAAGTATATGAACTCTGAACAGTAGGGCTGTTCGAGGTTTGAATGAGACGAAACATGTAAATTTGGTGTTTGTATTAGTTGTTTGTGTCGTTGTTTCTTTTAATTGATAAATTTTGCGAAATTTTATAAGATCATTTACTTCGTATTTATTATTAGTCGTACATCATAAATACTCCGTGTAAAACTAACTATTGTACAAAAATATACTTGTACAAGCTTGTGAGTAATGTTGCTTTATAATCTATCTAAACAAATGAAGTAGTTTTATTAGTCACAATAAAGTAAGATGATGATAATAATAATAATAATAATAATAATAATAATAATAATAATAATAATAATAATAATAATAATAATAATAATAATAATAATAATAATAAAAAAAAAAAAAAGGGTCCAAGTAATTTTAAGTTCATATGAAGTATAATTTAAATTTATGCAATATCACATATACCTAGGCCATTTTCATTTTAATACTCCACCCGTTTCATAATCTTAATCCCATATGGAATCAATCACATAAAATAAGAAAAGAAGAATATTTGGAATCTAACATTAAAGTACAAAATAATTCATAATTAGTTACCTTATTTATTTATTTATTTATTTATTTATTTTTTTTTTTTTGGGGGAAAGCATAAGTCATAATGCATAATTCAAGGTAGAGATTTGCTTACTTAGATCCATGTCATCAATCCACAACCAATTAATTACAAAAAAATTAAGTTAAAAATGGAATATATTCAATATAGGTAGTTGTTTTTGAAACACCCAAAATAGTATATGAGACTAACATTATGAAATGGAGAGAATATTAAAATTAGATTTAAAAAGTTTATAACTTCAAATTAGTGAATATTACTTATATAGGGGCATCTAGTGGTAAGAGGTTGGCCTCATGACTTAAAATCAAATCCAATTAAAAGTGATCAAATAGATTTGATAGGTGTCAATTCAGTAGAGTTTTTCTCCTTACCATAAAAAAAGAAAAAAAAATAAATAAATAAAAATAAAATAAAAATATCTATTGTAAAACCCAAAGCTACTCAAATATAATAAAAAGGAAAAATTCATGGGAATAATCCCACCTTTGGGCCGTTCATTATTTAAAAATCCCACATTTGGATTATTTTTTAATAATCCGACCTTTACCCCCAATTCTTTTTTAATGGTCCCAACCGGTCATGTAACCTGTACCTATTATAACAGGTTACATGACACGTGGCGGCCTGTGATTGGTCAAATTTTTTAAAAAAAAAAATGTTAAATTTATATAAAGAAAAAATAAATAAAAAATTAATTACAAATTAGCCCAAGCCACCACCCTTCCCAGCCGGAAACCACCATCTCCTTCCCACCTTCCACCACAGCCCCACCCCCTTCATATGAAACCACCGCAACCCCACTCCCCCTTCACCTGAAACCACCCCTTCCGCTCCCAAATCCGACCACCCCACCCCTTTTCCCTCTGAAATCCGAGTGGGTTGCAGCGGGGACGATTTGTGGCGACTGCTTGCAGTTTTTGCCGGAGGTGGGTAGTAGCGTGATAAGGGAGAGGGTTGCGCGTTGCGCTAGTGTAAGGGGAGGGAATTTCGAACAGTGCCGGTGAGAGGGGATAGGGTTTTGGTCGGTGTCGGTGTTTATGGTGAGGGTTTCAAGGTGTACTGGTTTCAACGGTGGGGTTTTGGGGGTGTCTGATTTCGGGGTGGGGTGTGGCTGGTTTCAGGTGGGTTGTGGCCGTTTTCGTGTGGGGTTGTGGCCGGTTTCAGGTGGGTTGTGGTCGGAAAGGCAGGGTGGCTAGTAAGGGAGGGTGGCCTGGAAGAAGGTGGTGAGGGCCATGGTGGCCGGATGGAGGAAGGGAGCTGGGATTATGGTGGGGCGGAGAGGTGGTCGGGGTTGGGGCTGGTGGCTCAGTGGCTGGGCAATTTTTTTAATTTTTTTTTTGAAACCAAAATGGATTTTAATTTTAATTATTTTTAGAAAAGTTAGTTTTAAACTAGTTAATTAAAATTAATTAGTAGTTTTCAGAAAAATTAAAATTAATTAGTAATAATCTTTTCTTAAAAAAAATTAAAATAAAAAGTTATTTTTTGACCAATTATGTTGTGACACGTGTACTTTAAACCAAAAAATAAAAAAATTACATACTCAACCGGTTCCATGTAAAATGGGACCATTAAAAAAGAATTGGGGATAAAGATCAAATTATTAAAAAATAATCCAAAGGTGGGATTATTAAAAACGAACGGCCTAAAGGTGGGATTATTCCCATGAATTTTTCCTAATAAAAAATACTATTGTTTTTTTGATGCAAAAGCGGTCAAAATTACTATTGTAAAACCCAAAGCTACTCAAATCCAACGACCTTAGCTTAAGAATTATGATGTATTTGAGTCATTTGTATTTGTTTATTTTCATAACTTATCTATACTAAAATTTACTATAATTCCCTCTATTTTTTTTTAATTGTTTGATGTGGTTAACTTTGACACTTTACAATTAGTAGATTTAAAATAAAGCTGATACAGTAAAGATTTACATGACCAAAAGACAATAGCAATCTGGTACAATTAAAAACGGAGGGAGAGTAAACTTATTTGTCTAAACTAATTAAACTCATCTATATTAATATGTAGATTTGTAATGTGTTGTAAACTTGTAATCACCTTATTTACTTATATGAACACAACTAAGCTAACTTATCTTAGTTGTAATTTTAACTTGGATATCCTTATCAACCCTTATCAAAACTTATTTTTCCTAAGCTTATTTTATCTAAATTTATTATACTTGAAATAAATGAAAAAAAATGATTGTACCAAATCGACTCTATTTTCACTTATTTTTAAAAACAATAAGATCAAATCAAATCAATTTAGCTTAAATCATCAAATTTGATAAGTGAATTTCACACTTTCTTGGATTTGAGCCTATGACACTGGGTTTCGTTAAGGACATCTATAAAGCATTGTCACAAAGCGATTGCGATTGCATGTGCGAAACGTTAAACCCCAAGGCTCGCTTGCCTCAAGCCAACCTTTTGCATTTGCCCAACAAGTACTATACACAACTTTAAACGAGGAATATAATTCACCAATTTTCGAACCAAGAATGAAACACTTCAACTAATCCAAAAGCTTCAAATTCTTATCTCCTACCAACACATTCTATTTTGATCAAATCCTCATCCAACCCTTCAATTAATCACTACACCTCATCAAACATGGATAGTTCTAGACATTAAACTCCATCCAAAAAAAAAAAAAAAATCTTGATGATAAAGCTACCATCTCATCTCCTTAAGTAGCCCCCACCTTCCCCCAAAGAACCTTAACTATTCACAACAGCTTCAGAAAGAGAGGGTTAGACAAGACCAGTCAAATTACACTTAATTTTTTTTTATTTTTTCCTTTTAATTTACAAAAATAAATAAATAAATAAATAAAATTTTTAAAAAAATTATAAAAAAAAAAAAAAAATCCAAGCAATAAAACCAACAATAACGATGCTATTGTTTTTTTCTTCTGTTTCAGACTTTATATATACCTCTCTACCATTCCTTTACTCAGAACCTCAGACTCAAAAAACACTCACTTTTCTCTCTCATCCATTTTTTTTCCAGAGAATCCAATTCAAATCCTGTGCTATAATTTTCACAAAGACTTCAATCTCCATTATAATTAATACTCATCAAAAAGCTATTACTTTACTTAGCTTCCATGGCAGCTTTTCAGCAATACCCTGCTTCTTTTTTAGTTGACTCTGTTTTCATGCCCGCCATTAAAACTCCTGAAATTGGAGCTTTCAATGAATTTATTGCTAAATCCAATCAATTTTACGCATCATCTGAAAAATCCCAGGACCCTTTTACTATTTATAGTCAAGAGGGTTCTTCCATTGATAATGAACCTTCTTCTGTAAGTGAAAAACAGAGGACTGAGAGTTTATCAATGGCGGATAAAGGTGATAGTAGTGATCAAATGACTCAAAGTTCGGTTCCTGTTGATAAAAAGAGGAAGTCTCGAAAAGGGTCTTCCTCAAATTCTGCTAATTCTAAGGTATTCCATTCGAATGGAGCTTTTATATAATGCACGTTAGGTGTTTGATAATATGCCTAAATGAATTTGGTAATTTTGTATAGGATGTTAAACAAGCTAAGTGTAAGAAACAGAAGGAAGATAAAGAAGCAATGAAAGATACAAGTGATGAACCACCAAAGGGTTACATTCATGTTAGAGCAAGGAGGGGTCAAGCCACTGATAGCCACAGTCTTGCTGAAAGGGTATAATAGTCATTTCTTATATATTATCGTTTATTATTTGACATTTATTTTTGGACCCATTACGGCTAGTTTTCAGTTTTTTGGTTTTTTTATTTAAAAATCTTATTATAAACATTTGTTGTATAAAAAATCTTATTAAATCTTATTATTTGAAATAATTCATTTGAAAACTCACAATGATAACAAACATGTCCTTAGTAGTAGAAAAAATTAACTTATTAATATTCGGGATTTTGACAGGTGAGGAGAGAAAAAATCAGTGAGAGAATGAAGACGTTGCAAGCAATTGTTCCAGGTTGTGACAAGGTGGGTTTAGCAGGAATTATATATGGCATACTCTGTTTTATTTTGTTATGATTTAGTTGTGTGTAAGTTGTTTAATTGACAATTTCATATGTCTTGGTTGAAAATAGGTCACTGGAAAGGCCCTCATGTTGGATGAGATAATCAATTATGTCCAATCCTTACAAAGTCAAGTTGAGGTATATTTAAATTTAATTCCAGTATTATCATTTTTTAAATCGTTTTTATGTCAAAAGATATTTATCGACACTTGCATACACTATTGAACTGTGAGTTTCAAATGTACACAAGTTACTAAGTTAGTATTGTTGAGTACTAATGATATTAGAATGAGAACCTTTTGTGGGTACGACCATTCTTTCATGTCAATTAAAAGTTTCACCAACTTGGTAAATTTTGTCGTTATATTATCTTCAACATACGATCACTTGAGAATTTTTCCTACATATGTTAATAGTCACTATCTTAACATATTCAAATACTTTTAGGTTGAATTCACAATATCATTAGTATGGTGAATTATGTTTCTATTTAAGGCAAGATTTCTAGAAATCACAATATTTAATCTGTTAATGATTTATTGAAACTAGAGATGATGGTATATATGTACTTTTAGACCATGTAATAATTTCTGCTAAAGGTTGAAAGTATCCTATTATGATAATTCCAATAGAATATTACCTGTGTATTATTGTATCACTATTATTTCTGTAAGGTAACTGTAGATTTTCTCTGGGAAATGTACCCTTAATTATATCTTCATTTTTACAGTTTTTGTCAATGAAGCTTGCTTCTCTGGACCCCATGGTATATAATTTTGGATTAATGGATCATGATCCTATGATGTTTGGAACACAGGTACAATAAATATATTATTATCTTAAAATTATTGCAACATTTGTTAAATAAGGATTATTTATTTTTCCAAATTTTCTTATTAATTGAAATGTCATGAAAATTTAGGCCATGACCAATGGCATGACATTGCCAATGCAACCACTAGTGCAACCCACCAGCAACGGCGGTAGTAGCATTGATCAACCTCAAGCTTTTGCCACCACAAACGCCGTGAGCTGCTCCACCACGAGCTCGGCTTCAACTCCCACCTTTACTAGCCCTGTTGTTGATAGCTCAACCAGTTTAATACAACAACAGGAGCAGAAGCCAAGTTTGCTTCCTTTACAGGTATTGTAAGAACAGAGCACATTTTAACTACTTTGACAAAGATAGGCAGATTAGAACTGTTGGAACAACAAGTGTGTAGTGTGTGAATTTTGTGAAAAAACTCAAAGTCCCACATTGGTGGGAAATGAGAGTTTTACTCTCTTTATAATATAGAGAGTGGGCTAAAGGGGTGTGGCCCTTGGGCTACCCACATTTTGTGGAGAGGGAGGGCTGGGTCGGGTTTGGGTTTGGGTTATTAAACAAACTTAATTTTTGTTACCGGTTTGATTAATATTCAGTTACAAAACGTTTTACTGTTTTGGTTTAAATTAACGAATACAAAACGTTGCAGTAAAAGGACTGATTTAATGCCTTGATTCTTGCTTAACGAATACACTAATTGCAGTAAACGTTGCTAATCTTTCTCCCGTTTTCATGCTTAAGCTGTTACATATCTTTACCTATAAAAGGACGGTTCCAGCTTTGTTTTTAACAACACGAAAAAAAAAACAGAAAACCACTTTGCAAAATATATTTTCTCTTCCTCTCAAAACAGTCGACCAGTTTCTTTCTGATTTTCTGGTGTTCCATTGTCCGGTGGTTCGGTGCAAAACCGCCGGTATTTTATACTTGTGAAAGACTGTTTTATCCTGGGGGCATCCGGTTTGGTACGAGCTGCTTGCACAAGTTTGAGACAGTGCCGCGAATGTTCTAAAGAGAGCGACATAGTCCGCGACTCAGTCTTATTCTCGGTAACATTGTTCTTACTATTTTATTTGTGCAATTCCGTTTATAACAAGAACTAACATTTCACTAAAGGATGGACCAAAAACATCAATTACAAATATTAGTAGTAGGGACCAAACCAAAATGCACTTAACCTATATTGAAAATTTTCGACACATTTTTAATTAGTCTCCCAACCGTCTCTAGTGTATGTACTCTTTAAAGATTAATAAATAATCAGGAAAACATTGATTATTGTAACAAGAAAATGCGGTGGGAAACTAGAAACTAAAGAAGAGTAAATCGGATCGTGTTCTATCAAAAAAAAAAAATATTTTGTAAGAAGGATCGTACTCAATGTGTTTTGGTAGTTTGGGTAGTAGCCAAGTAGGCCAAAATGTTGTTTGGAAGGACCACCATGTTTAAAATAGTTTTGGTAGTAAGCCAAAATAATTCTGGAATTGTTTGATTTAATTAAACATGTCATTTTCAGGATGCCGGGAGTTTATACTGGGGATTAAATGAGCAGCAACGACAAAGCATCATTAATCAACTTGGATTCAGCAACAACTTGTATTCATTTCAGTAGAAGATCATCATTCTTACTAGCTAAGTAGCTAGAAATCTCTTTTATTAGAAAACTGTAAGTATATATCATAAAAATTATATATACATGCTAGAGTTTCCATTTTCTCCAATCCATTATCCCGAAGCCGGACTTACTAAATCATAATCAGCATCCCGTGTTAGAATTAATCAGTGACAAATCAAGAAATTTATATAATGATTTTGGAACATATATAGTTAAGAGTGAGATGAAGATCAAGAATCATTGTTTGAAGGGGTTGTAATATCTGATGTAATTAATATTTTTCTTTTTCCGGCGTTGGGATGTACCTCTCTCTTGTTTTTATATAAATTTATTTACTCATATAAATTATAGTAAAAAAAAAAAAAGATCAAGTTATGTTCCCATGCTAGGATTCATGATTGAGCATCCATAACTTATAAGGGGTAGGTTAAGGGGTGAGGGCATGTCTTCCTTGTTTGAAGTTAGGGATAACATTAGGCAATCAAGGCATGTTATGGGGCCTAGCTTGCTCCTAATACCCCCTAGCCCCCAACCAAAGATAGAAAATAAAAATAATAATAAGAAAAAAAAAATCCCCATTTACTTGGTTCTTTTGTCATGTTATTGTTATCAAGTTGCAAAATATATTATTTTTGGATTTAAACAATATTAAAAATGACAAATTAGTTATTAAACATCAATATTGTTGCCGAAATGCCATGTTTTGTAAACACAATGGACATGCATGTATGGTCTCATTCATTGAGACTTTAAGGCACTAGAAAATAAATGTACATTTTAAATTGTAGATGAACCAATCCCGTCAATCTTACATACTCTTGCTTCGAACTTCTAACCACAACTCTCCAAAACTTAACCTTAAAAAGCTACATCATAATGTATAATGAACAAATTGGTCGATCATCTTAATTAAAATTAAGTACGATGCACTTTAAATAAAGCCTTTTGATCTCCGTCTACTTCATACTGATCACATCCTCTTTTTATTGTTTGTATGTGATTCCAGAATGCAAAGATTATATGAAGAAAGAGGTGCCAACAAAGCAAGGGAATTGAAGAGACATTATGTTCAAAAAAACACTAATGATGAAAAGAAAGAAGAATTCTCTCTACTTTGTGTCAGCTCCAACAATTGAGATAGAAGAAGAAATTCCTTTACTCCAAATTGGCTATGATTCTTGATTTTCAATTCAAAATATTTCTTATTTTTGAAGAAGCCAAAATCAATGGAAGCTATAAAAAAAATAAAATATAGAGAAAAAGAAAGAACATAAAATAAAGGACAAATCATATCCAACCAAATAAGGACCCCCATATCTTTTGAAGATCCTTGTTTATGTTCCCATTTGACTATCAATTCTGTCATCAAAATAGTTTTAGAAACTTGTTACAGTTAAGACCTAACTAGGATTGGACAAAATTATAAATCTATATTTTGTCTATGTATTTATTCAATGTACCTAGCTATTTGTTTTATATTACGAGTACTTATCCATATTACAGTGGCTTTGCTTTTACTTTTAATTTTTATTCTATTTATTTAATCTTTTCTTATTTGTAATTTTGTGTAATAAAAGTTCCATCCTTTTGTAATTACATTCTTTAAATGTAAAACTTACTCCATATATTGGTATGTAGTGCAATATTTAATGTAAGGTAACTTTAAAGAATTAAAGGTAAAGTCTTTTCCAATTAATATTAGTTATATGAATTATAATTTTTTTTCAATAAATAATAAATACGTATAATATTTTGGTGGTTGTAGTGTAGGGTTATTTTGAAAATTTTCAACAATTTTGATTGTTTCGCTTTGTCCGAATTAATTTGTACCGCCAAGGCAAGAGTATAACAGACGTGTTATCTTATAAAAGGATTGTACAGATTTATTGTATCAAAAACTAAATTACTTGTATTGTAGTAATGGTTTGTGTCCTTATTTGAAATGGATCGTGTCATATATAGGTGATACGACTACTCATATCAAATTATACTGTAAAAATATCCAACTAAATAATCACGATTTTTTTGTGTCTTAATATGTACATATTCAAACATGCAAGTATGCCAACTATATTATTGGTGTTTGTATCTACTAGAAAATGTGTCCATCAAACAATTTTTTTTATAAGGTAAGATGAAGATCCTTACTGAACTAGCACCTCTCACAGGCTAAGCCAGTTCAGCTCCACAAGTTAACGCTTAGCTTGGGAATAGAGGGGGGAGCTCCGCAGGTCAACTTTGAATAAACTTAGCAACCCAAAAAATACGAGAGGCCTAAATCTTTGGCAGATTTTACCTTTAAACAACGCTTTTATTGTAAAATTAGGGAGGAAATAAATCTCTAATTCATTCCGTTTTTTCAATATACAAACCGAAAATAAAAAAGCACTCACATAATTAGAGGAATATTCTAGAACACTAAGAAAAGGTATTCGATGAAAATTTGGTAATGGTAGATAAATATATTGATAATTGAGCATCTAACCAAAAACTTCTTGAACTCCTTCACTTACCTAATTAATTTAGACTTAAGAATGTAAAATTTTATCCTACCTAATTCCCATCGGAACATGCATAAACTTAGGAGAGCTTACTTTCGAAAAATATTATCGCTCAAATTGTACGAATTACTTTTAGGAAATGACTTTTTGGTTGCGGTTAAGATTGATATGAGTAAAGCATATAATAGGCCAATTGGGACTTTTTGGTACGTGTGCTTAAGTGTTACAAATTCCCACCTACATGGTTGCAGATGATTCGACAGTGCATTTCGACTGTTGCTTACAAAGTCCTCTTTCAGGGTGGCACGAGTGATCGGTTTAGGCGGACTTGCAGTCTAAGCTAGGGTGATCCCTTATCACCCTATCTTTTCCTATTTTGCATGGACGTTCTTTTGAGAATGCTACAGCAAGGTTGCGATATAAGACTCTTTGATGGTATTAAACTAGGGCGACAAAAAGGGCCTTCTATTTCACATTTGTTCTTTGGAGATGATGCCCATTTATTCTTTAAAGCTATAGATCAAAGTTGTAAAGTTGTTGCTGATATACTCAACAAATTCTGTAACATTTCGGGCCAACAGCTCAACCTTGCTAAGTCCCGCTTTAAACTGAGCCCAAATACTCCTACCACAGTTCAGGATTCCTTCAAAAGTATTTTGGGAATGACTCAGGTTACCCAATTTGAGTTATACTTGGGGGGCCCTATTGACTAAATGGGGCGAAAGGGTATGTCTTTTCAGTTTATAGTTGACAACATTAAGAAAAGAATTTTGGGGTAGAATGCGATTTGCCTTTCACTGTCGCGGAAGATAGTTCTTATCAACTCGATCCTCATAGCAATAAGTTCCCATTGTCTAAATTATTTTGAGATGCCTATTCATATTGCTAATAAAATTGACTCGCTACTAGCGACTTTTCTATGGGCAAACAAGGAGAACAAAGAAATGCACTAGTAAGGACAAAGTGAGTCTCCCAAAGGGTATGGGAGGACAGGGGATTCGAAGTTTGGGGTGTTTCAATAAAGCGTTACTGATGAAGCAGGCATGGAGATTATCTCAGAAACCCCAGCTTTTGCTTTCAAAGGTTTGTGCAACTTGGTTTCGTAACCAGATCACTAAGGGAGTGCCAGCCAAGGTTTAGAATAGGAATTACTCTTGAGGAATGAGAGGCTTGGTAAACGCGGGGAATACTTTTATCAAGGGTTGTAGTTGGAAGATAGGAAATGGGAGTTCGGTGGTGGCTGGCAAGGATAGTTGGATGGCGGGCAAGGTCCCTGAATTTCATTTTGAAGTCACTTTGGAACAGGCAACGAACTGGAAGGTGAGTCATTTCATCTCCCCAACTAGTAATAGTTGGAATCTTTCCAGACTGCATACTGCTTTTGTGTAGAAAGATGCTTTGTTGATTCCTAGTTTGGGATTTCCGGATCAAGATGCTGATGACTATATGTACTGGGGTTACCACAAGTCTGGCCGTTTTACAGTCAAAACAGGGTATGTGTTCCTTTAACAGTCTACCGCACCGCATACACACGACAATATTCTGAATATATATATAACACTGTGCTCTCTTTATATTATGTCGAAGTGGAAATTGTTTATGTGGAAACTACTAAGTAACGGAATCGCAACACGGTGTAATTTGGGCAGCAGAGGGTTGGAGATTAATATCCAGTTGCAACCTTTGTGGGTCTTAGGAGGAGGATTTACAACATTTGTTCAGATTTTGCACTTCTGCTCAAGATGCTTGGAGGGTGGAATTTTACAAAACCACTCACAATATAATATTGACTAATCATTTGAAGATTCATCCTGTACTATATCTGGCTTTTCATATGCTAGGATGGTTACCATGGTCATGAAACCACATTTTTTATGCAACTCTTTGGGGGTTGTGGACATCAAGGAATAAAAGGGTTTTAACATCCCAGGTACGGTTAGTACTTCAACACCGGCCGTTATTTGCGATGGTCTTCGCCACTAGGGGCTTTTTTCTACAGGGAAATAAATTATGGTGAGATCCTTACACCCACCATAACAGATTTCGGACCACCCACCTGGGATCCAAGATTCGGGTGAAGGCTTGAGGCCCACGGTTATTCTGGTCGATGGTTCTTGGAATAGCCACACTCATAGATTAGGGATGGGATGGTGCCTGGAATTTGGGGAGTACGGGGAACCGGGGTCTTTGGGTGGAGCTTCCATGGGTTGGCACAGTCAGCATTACATGCGGAAATGAATTCGTGCTTAAAGGGGCTTTAGTGGGCTGTCAAACTGATGATACGTGATGTTACAATATATATCGATTCAGCTTCTTTGGTGCACTCACTAAGGGATTTAACAGGTCTATTACTATTAGATAGACGGTGTATCGTATCCGTCAACTCAGCGGGGATTTTGTTTGGTGCAGCGTTCACAAAGTGCAGTGAGACGTAGTGTAGAAGGCCCACAACCTTTCCACAACTGCAAACTCTAGTCTTACTTCCTTTAATTATTTTATGTAGTGTGTTGTTTAAGCTTATGTCCCAAAAAAAAAAAAAAAAAAAGGTAACGTAATGAACGACACTCTTGTTTATGGATTAATTACCTTCGAGGAGTTTTAAAGCTAAATCGGCCACATGGTTAGTTCATCATTTAAAATTAGTTAATTGGCCTCATAGTTGGATTTGGAAAGTGGATATATCACTCTTAGCTGCAAATCTTTTTGTGGCAAATTTTACACTACAACCTAAAGATGCAATTGTGATACTTTGATCTCTATAAAGAAATATAATATCCCTTAATACATGCATTCCTCACAACCAATTAACAAAATGAGATAGTGAACCCTTCATTCATTCTTATTACTCGTACTAAAGCAAGAGAAGTCCAAAACATCCTCTTTGTTACCATATGGTTAAATAATTGCACAATCTAGTTTCACCAACTTAAAAAGAAGCCTTTTTTAATCTGATAACATACACAAGGATGTTTGAGAATATTTATCTTTCTAATTTAATTGGAGTATTTGGAAAGAGAGAAACTATATTAATTTCCGCTAAGAAACTCCAAACATGTATAAGATCTACCATCGAGTGCAATTTATGTTCAATAAGTTGCAAACCAGAACTCTCATTGATACCTTTTACTCAGTGGGATAGATCTCCACGATCAAGATAATATCCTACCCTACATAACTTATCAATAAACTCCAACTTGATTGGATTCTTGAGAGGCACCACTTACCAATTCTTCCAACTCAACTTCGACGGCTCGGTTCAAAATAATTAGCTAGCAACATGAATCATCATTATTTGAGACAACAACAATAATCTTTAAAGCGCGCACACATTCAACCTTGAAAACACTACTAAAGCTTTCATAGCCAAAGCATCTGCTCTCCATAAGGGCACCTTTCACGCAATTGAACAAGACATAAAAACATACGTATTGAATTGAAGGCGACAATCTCATTGTTATCAAACTCAGTTACGCACGGATTTATTGAGCACCCATATGGCAGATTGATCATATTATTATGGACATACATTTTCTTCTCGTCATTTAATTTTTTACTGACGCATATATGGTGTACTTCCTCATCCATGTTTTAACAAGTGTTACACTTTGACTTTTTTCACTATTCACATAATGGTTTTGACTTGATTAATTTACTACTATATAAAAAGGAAATGTTGTTTTATAATACATTATTGTTGGATTTGTTATAATGTATACTTTCATAATATCAATTTTCCTATATAATTTTACTAATATATAATTAGATAATTAATGGTCAAAGTCGTGTCTTGGCATGCATGTTTGGTCAAATTAAGCATAACACTTATTAAAATACGGAGGGATTAGAAAATTGGGAATTAATTTGATAGTTAATGTTATTCATTTAGTTAGCGATAGTGTGAATATTCTTTCCTATTTTTTTTTTATTCGAGTATCTAACGCATTAGGAATCCTCTCGTGAGAAGGGCTCCAAATGTTTTTTTTTCTTACTTACAAA